AATTTGTCAGACTCACAAATGCAACATACAGTAATTCAATGCTTTCATCAAACCATAATTGAAATGGAAAATCTTTCAACAAATTAGCATAGTTTGAGTTCTGCACACACTTATTCTTACACGGATGGGTGGTGTGATGAGAAAAACCTACCTTGAGTGTACCATTATTTTCTTATTGTTTGCCTCATTTCCCAACAGTAATAGGGAAGAAAGGTGTCTTAAAAACATTGGTTTCTATTTCTATTCTATTGGTTTCTCAGTAAATGTCACAATTATAGAGCTCCCTATTTAAAGCTATAGTATGTATCCAGGGTCATTTTAACATATGCATAATTTCAATTTACACCTTCTCTGATATGAAGGTGAGGGAAATGTTCATCAAAAATCTTTTCACATTTAAATGAATATCTAGACGTTTCCTAACATGGCATTCCATAGAATTTGTGATGAGATTACTCAACCAAAATTAAAAGATCATTAACATTTTAGTTTAACACAGGAGTATCTTGCATGAAGAAAAAGCACTGTCTCAGTATTTTAAAAATAGAAATATGCCATAGCTCAGGGGCATTTTTAAAACTGTGAGAAATCTATCAATGGATGAAAGAGAAAGCAAGACCACATGCTGAGCACACGTGTGATAGTCTGGGCAATTTATTGTGAAGTGCCACTTGTACTAGGCCTGCCACAGAGCCTTTGGTTTGAAAGGTTAATAACTGCAGCAATCACGATTTCAATTTACAAGAAACAGGATAGCAGAAAGCCAAATACCAAATGGAGAGGTCCCACTGTGATGGCAGCTGAGCAACAATTCATCAACCGCAGTGCAGGAACACTGTAAAACCAGAGTGCTGGGGACACCTTCGGAGTCTGGGGCGGGATTAGGACTTCTGTTAAGCTCCTTTTTCAAGGATAATATAAAAGCTTTAAAATGGCTAAATTACTGAATGCAGGCATAAGCCCTCCCCTGGTGCTTCTCCTTATAACAGTGTTTAGGTCATCTCTGGGCTCTTTTTCCCAACTTCTTGCATTCTCTTTAGTACATCTCCTGTTGTCTTTTAAATGTTGACCTTAGCCACTAGCAAAACAACCATCCTCGAAACAGGCAATTTCAGTACTCTTTGGGCCTTCTCTGCAATCATACTCCTTGCTTCCCAGCACATCACCTGTACCACAGTGTAATCTGAAAGGCTTTGCAAAGCTTTCAGGTCAGTAGGAATACACAGGGATGCCCTCTGAGACCCTGTGCTCCCACCGCCTGAACCACTGCCTGGTTTCAGAGTGCCATTTTCCTGCACTGGTAAAGCAAATCAGTGAACATATCTCTAAAGGTTTGCCTTTTTATTTTTGTTTAAATAAAAAGCATGGAGTAAAACAGACGGTAAATGTCATTCAGGCTCCAGAAAAAAAAACAGTAATACTTTTCATTTTCTTATATGAAGTCAAGCAGAAATATATGCAAGTAACTTAAAGTCATAAATAATAAATACATGGATGCAAGCTGTGTAACATTTTGGTCACCCTCATCTCAGAACAAACACAGTAAAACTATAGTGGGTTCAGGCAACAGGCTGGAAGGGGTTTCATATAATGGAACTAATATAGAGAAAAATGTTCAGTTAGGAAAAGAAGAGGCTAAATGTGCTGGGGGTATGCAAAACAATGCATGTCTTTGAGAAAATAAATAAGGTAATGGTTATTCATTTTCATTTTTTCATAGCAGAATGAGAAGGAAAGGCAATAGGTCTGAGACACAAATCAGTTATTTTTCACAGAAGAAATTATTAAAGTCTGGAGTTAATTTCTCACAGAATGATGTGGATGTCAAAACCCGCTAATGACTTCAAAATGTAATTATGAAAGTTTATGGGAGAAGAGTTGGCAAAAGCATGCAAAATACAGACGCAGCGCAGGAAGTACTTCAGTCACAGAATGCCAGGTGACAGAACCTTACCATTAGGGATTAGGGGAATTATTGCTCTTTCCCAGAGCCTGAACTACTGACCACTATCAAAAACAGGATACTACTAATTTAGATGGAGCCAGTCTAGCTTTTCAGAGAAAAAAATGTACAGACTAGAAAGTTTATTGGAAACACACACACAAAAACAATTTCAGTATTCTTATTCAGCACTTTTTGACACATCTAAAGAATTAAATATTAAAATATGGAGATACTCAAGTTCTTCAGAAAGGGTTATGATTTATTAGGCTATATATCGTATATCATATTGGTATAGTTTTACCAATAGAGTTGAAGGAGCTTGACTTCTGTTTGTGGATTGCATATGATCAGCTGGTCAAACATGTAGCAGTATTTGTTCCTCAGTTTACTGGTGATACAACAGCAATGCACGCCCAGGATAGTCCAGGGCATAATTCCATTTGAATTAAGCACAGCCCATGCCATAGCGGTGCCAGCTTAATGCCATCTATTCCAGCTCTCTCCTGAGCTCCTGCCAGGGCACTTCTGCAATGCCAGTGGGTGACATGGCACTGCAGGATAAGGCAGATTCAGTTTAATAGCAGTGTAACACCAGCAGAGCTACAGTACCTTAAATCCTTGCCATAGTTTAGCTTGTTTTGTATTGTTATTGAAGAAATAGGGCAACAGGCAAGCAGCATAAAGGTGGACTCAGTACCAGGTTTGAAAGTGTTATATTAAGGATGCTGTGTGTGTGTGTGCCAGGAAGTCTTCTCTGTGCAGAAGATCTCCTTTGGAGAGGACTAAGCAGAAGGCAAAACACATAAGGCAGATTTTGTCAGGAAAGTGTTCAGACAGACCAGAAGGAAGAAAAGCAAGAAGGCAGGTGGCCTGAGGCCTGACAAATTGAGGAGTGGAGCAGCGTCGGGGGAGGCTGTTCAGAGTGCAAACCATGGGAGGCATTGCAAAGCCACCCAGGCTCAGCACCCACCAAAGCTCCTTCAACTGCATTTGATAACAACTGAACAGGAGATATGAGAGATGGACTAAACCCCCAGGCAATGTGCTGGTAGCGCTGAGGCAGACCTGCCCCAACCATTTTCTTAGGAGATTAGGGAACTGTGATCTAGCATCAGGCTTTGCAGTAGAAACTGATATAAAGCAAAACAAACAAACAAACAAAAACAAACTTGCCTGAAACTTCTGAAATCATTCATTTCAAGAGTTAGAGTTTTAAAGCAGCAAAAATTAGTGCTTTAAATTGCTTCACTTTTATAACAGACATCAGTCCTAGGCATGTTTCAAAGCTTTTTTTTTAGGTAAATGATAATCTTGCAATTGCATTGAACAAAAAGAAATGAAGTTCATGCTCATTAGTTCTAAACATTCAAAGACAATTATAGTTGCATATATTGGATTACTATGTGCTGATAAGGAAATGACACACCTGAATAAAGATGCGTTACTTTGTATTATCATCAAAACTGCTTTGATATAGGTAATCCATCTTAGAACACAAAAGCAGAAAAGGAGATGGAATTCCCTTTTAAAAAGATGGTAATATCATAATCAATTAAAATACTTCCTCATAACCTATTCTCTTCTTCCACACCTCATTTTACACATACAAATACTAAGGACCTTAATTTCTGAGACACTAAAAATGATTATTCTTAAATTTTAACTGCTATACTTAGTACATCTCTGCCTTACATAATTAGAGACATTAGCTCATGATTTGCAATACCTAGGGAATATTGTCATTAACAGGGGAATGTTCTCTAATACCTTGAGGAAATGAAAAGCTTTTAAGAGCAATCACTGTTAATCACTAAAATGACAAACTTTATATACCTTCTGGTACTGGGGATAACGTATAGCAAGGACATGTTAAATGACTGTGTATTTTACTAGTCTTGCAAGAGTTCAGTAAAAATATACTTTAAAAGTCTTTTTGCATGGTCTTCATTCACTAAAAAATATCTGATACCTAAGACTTCTCTAAAATTTATATTTCTTCTTTTACTAACTATGGAAAACATACTATCCAAGTCCTTAATTGAGTTTCATTGTGTTTTTAGTACTAGCACACTTTGTTACAAAATTTCATTTGTATAGTAAATATCGGTGAAGACCAAAAGAAAAACTAGATCAAAAAATGACAAATGCAATAAAATTTATTTTTGCCTTCAGCTCAGTAGCATGCTTAGTACCTGGGAAGCTGCAGTACTCATAACTGATTACACAGATTAACATTACACCCAAGATTTGTTAGTAATTGATATCAAATTGTTATGCAAATTTTAAATCCCAGATATTTTATATCCAGTTTTAATTGCATGTAATATTGTATAGAAGTGTAAATTACAAGAAAGATAATAGAAGAAAAGGCTCCTTTTTATTATTATGAAGGAGCTTTTTTTTTTTTTGCCTACACCACTAGCAATACCAGGGGCAGCTATTCCTTTGGGTATAATGAGGTTCAGTCCTGCCAGAACTTAATAGCAGTTAGAAAAATCTTTCTGCACCTTATTTCCCTGCAGGACTAACCATGCATATGCTAGCACCAAGCCCAGAACCACAGAACAGGAAGAACATTTCCACACTGGAAATGGAGGTACACTGTACCTGAGCCCTCAGTGCGGGTTCCTGCCAAATTCTAATTATTTTCATGCCAAAAAAGGAGCATTGACCTTGCCAGTAGAGCCCATATATCCACAGTAAATCACAAATAATGACTTTCCAGAAATGGAGATGCCAAGTCTACAGATCTGTGGAGCTAGAAAGGAGCGAATAGACCATCTACTGTTCTTCATCTAACTAAAAATTCCTCTAATGCAACCTCAACACTATCTTCAACCATTTTGTGATCAAAGCACTGCTTTCAAACTCAACTGCATCTTTTGAACACTGAGCAGTTCAATCGTGGCATGTTTGATGTTTCCTCACTTGACCAGACAAGCAACAATTCACTCCTTGGGCTCCACTGTGCTTCACTGTCAGTTTTGATACTACTGACACTGCGGTAGCCTCTCCTCCTATAAACGTATGATATATTCACAAAGCCAATGCTTACGTTCTTGAAACCTCTATAGAGGATCTGCAGTTCCTTCTTTGTGAATTTACTCTGTGCTTCCAGCAGTTCCAGAGCTTCAGGTCTATGTCGTACTGTAGCCATTTCCATTTCATCTTCTACAGTGTCTGCAGGATAGAAAAGACAGAGGAAAAAAAGCTTAACAAAAATATAGGATGCACAGATATCTCTCACAGAAAAAAAACGAAGAACATTCTTTGTAAAGAATAGTTCTTTTGACTGCATTTAAGAAAAATAACATTCATTCTGAACTCATTGGGGAAGGGAACCTATCTGTTTCAATGGCTTTACACAGCTCAGAGACTAGGTTTTGATCTAGTGTTCTGGATGTTTTCACACATTAGTATAAATAACAATAAACTGAAAGGTGGATATTTTACCAGAACATGCATGGTCCATGTAGTATGACTTTTCTGTTTCTATGAATCTCTGAGAAAGGAAAGTGATTTTGTGTAGTAACTTGTCACCATGTGCGTGCCCAATACTGGCAATTTTCCATTGGCTGGTTAACGAACAAGAATTCACTACACTTGCTTGTAATTCTTGGTGTTTTTCTTTTATTGTGAAGTTGGACTTTGGAAACTGTGCAAGGTTGATATTGCACATTCACAGTACTCTGTACTTTGAATATGATACAAAGTACCCTTAAGGGCAAACACGATTTTCCACGGTGTGCAGTTTACATGCAGAATATATGGACTTTAGTGACCTCATCATTAGAGGAATAAGAATGAGGCCTTCAAGGACTACAGATGAATGTGTCCCTAGAAGAAGTGAGAGAGAGCAATACATTTATTCCAGGTAGAGCTTTAAAAATGAAAGTTCAGTACAACTGTAATTAAATGAACTTACAGTAAGGACATTTCATATGGATTACCAGCTATGCGTCTGATCAAAAATATGCACATATACATTTAAGTATTCCCTCCATTAAACATAGCTTCTGTAATACTGAGGACTAATTTAACCAAATCACTTTCTTCTTCAGGCCTAAGAGTTGTAGGAACTGTATCGAAATTTAATTTAAGCCAAGTCAAGCATGCAGAATTCTTCACTTCTACAAGGCAAAGTATAGACATTTTATTTCACCAGAGCTTGAGAATACACCCTTAGAAGCAAGTTGTATTTAGTTTAGCTTTCATAAGAACACATTCACAAAATACTCTATTAAAATAAAATTACAGTTTGAGATTACTGGTTTTGTTCTGTTACCATGCATTATTAATAACTTTCAATTGCATGGGAAAAATCTGGCATCAGGAGATATGGTTCAATTAAACAAAAAAAAATCCAATAACCTTTAAAAATATATACACAGAGTATATATACAGTTCAGATAAATCTGCACAAAACTGTAGGACTCTGCCTTATATTTTGCTAACGAGATGTTGCTATTGGCACTCATTTCATGGAAGCAAGGATCAAAGTATTCAAGGTGTGAAAAGGAAGAAAACAATTGTCAAAAATTTGGGACCCACAGGCTGGGAATGCTCAGCAGAGAACGAACAGTTCAGCCGCAAAGGCATGGGATGAGCAGAAGATTACATACCCCCTTTTCCCATTTTTTGGGTGGCTTAACTGAATGTAAGAGAAACCAGTATTCTGCCATGGCAGGCCAGCAGACTCCACATGCAGGCACACCACTGCAGTGCCAGGGTCTAAGGGGCTTCCTAAGCCACCAGCAATGGCCTGTGAAAGAGCCAAGAATAGAATTCAGATGCCTGATCCTCATTTTATGAATTTAACCTTTAGATCCTATGTTTTTAAAATATGAATATTTTTCCCAGGGAATGAAGGACTTTCTATTTTGTAATCAAATAGAAGAATGGAGAATAGATAAAACTCCTTGCTAAATTCTCAGTAAATGTCTGGGCTGAATTTATCAAACTATTATTCCGGGTGAACCTTTGCAACAGTGCAAATCACACCTTCCTTGCACCTCTGAAATGCTGCTGCTCTGAATACAGCTTGTACTTCAGCTAAGCACTTCAAATTACACAAACACCTGTATTCTGAGCATGAATGCAGACTCCAAAATCCAATCATGTATTAAGCTAGAATATGTATACAGATTTGTGAGTATAATTACTTTATCAGTATGACATATATATATTACATTTACTATAAAAATTATTTCTTGCTTTCCAGAAAGTATATAAACTTAAGCAATTGAAATGAGTACATAGGAATAAGCAAAAATAGGTATTTTAGATGAGCTACATAGTCATTTGCATATGCTATCAGTTTTCTATAGTTGTTTTACATATGCACGTGTGATGCTAACTGATCTGAGGTTTCAAAATTTTACTTCTCATTTACAACCTCCTGCACTGAATCTCTAGACAGGGCAGGAATCTCAGAAGCACAAACTGTGAAATATTTCAGACAATATGACTGGCAAATGAATAAGAACTCTTGCTTTTACCTTTGCAAGATTAAAATTAACAGGAGTCACATAATAGCTGTAATTACACAAGGAGACCAAAAAGGCATGACATGAGATATTATAAAAATGAGCCTCATAAATGCTTTATGACTTCTCAAACCTGATGCTTTGAACAGATTTTCTCCCGACAGCTTTCTTTAAGGATATTTATTTTATGCATTAAAGCTGTCTCTTTTAAAACTTTTTAGCTTGCAATTGATGCAGAAAGATTTATTAGACTAAGAAATACAGTTCTAACCATTTAAGGGACTTGCCTGCAGATGACATAATAAAATGTAAACTTGATCACTGAACCAGACTGCAAACCCAGAACATTCTGCACCTCATGACTGTCCTCTGAGACACATGTTAGTTTTTCCGAGCCTGTACTTCCCCCTCTTTCTAAGTCATCATTTATCTGTGAAGTATTATAGAAGGGAATCACTGTAGGAGGAACTGAACTTGATGTTTTGCAACATGACACAAGGTATTTTCCAAATCAGTATCACACAGTCTTATCTGAGAGTGTCCATTGAGTAATGGCTCACAGACATGTTATACAAAGTTCTTTTTCTTCTTCATAGTTTAACTCAAATGATTTTAGAACTAAAAAGATTCTCATTAAAAATTCCTCAAGTTTTTATTGATTTCTCTTTTGTATTTATTATAGAGTCCCTAAAATCACTATTACAATGTCTTGATGTAGATACATGGGGCCGGGGGAGGGCAACTCTGAGTGAGCACTGAGTGTGCACACCGAACTGACTAAAGAATCAACCCGAGAATAAACACGGTTGCAAAGACACTGCTGCCTTATATGCCAACAGTTATTTGTGGTTTAAATGCCTACTATTTACCTATATAGGAACTTAGCTGGAAGAGACAATCTTAAGCATCCATTTGTGAAACATCTGACTACTTATAGAGACATCTATAAGCTTTTCAAGTTAAATGAATACACATAGTGTCTGCAAGGCTAGAGATAAAGGTCGGATAATGTGATATTGAGAACAATGTCTGCTATAACTTTGGTAATGAACATTTCTATTCTGTTTTAATGGCTTAGTAAAAGTGTAGAACAGTGATGATGATGGCTTGATGAAAAGATTCAGTATAGCAGTCTTATGACACTCTTTTTCTGTAGTTCCTTACAGTTATAAATAATCCACAGAGAAAATCACCATGAACTTCTTTATAATGTGCCAACTATCCTGAATAAAACACTGCTGTGTTCATCAGTCACTCTCACCTTTTGTTTTTTGTCTTCACGTATTTGGCTACAGCTATCCAGGCTCAAAGAAATTCTATACTTTTAAATATGTAGTGAAAGTGTGTGAAAATGCATTTATTTTCAAATATAAGTTTTACAATTTCTATAGCATTAATAAAAAGTGATAATTTGTCATTATATTTTTTCTTCTCTAGTCTCCACAGCCTAAGAATATTAAAAGTTTAAACACTCTTTGTGCATGAAGATTAACGTGTCAGTCAAAAGAGAAACATTTTACAATTAATTAAATGACAAAGTAGTAAAATAATAATAATAATAATAATGGTAGTTAGAAAAGCACATCCAAGGTCAGGCTTCAGTCCATAAGTGCTAAAATTGTGCCCATGCAATTACTTGCACAACCCCTACCCATTGTTTATCCCCTATAATTTGATAAACATCCTTTTCTCTTCCCAAATCACTCTTGAATCTGGTCCCATCTCTAGCATTTAAATATCCACTTCAATATTTAAGTAAAGAAGCAGAGCAAATCAAGCCTAGAGGTGCAAATTCAGGCCTTGCATTTATTTTGAAACAAAATTCTTGTTCTAAAAATATACCCTTTAAAATTTCTAGAGAATTCACCTTATCATGGTAGGTATTTCTGACTTCCCAGTACATTAGAATGTGGTTTCTCTTATACTAACAAAAATTAAATAGTACATTATGTCAAAATTAGACAATAATGTTGGGTTGGGACAACAATACTCTCATTTTAATGCAGCATTTTGTTAATGACTAGAGCACAGAGCAAAATGCTAACTGTATTTCTCCTTTTACTACTTGGCTTCCAAATATGAAACATTTAATGCAAGTTTGACTTTGACTTTCCTTCTGGCTTATAACACACTTTCAGCAAGAAAATGCAAGCTTTCCATGGTTAGCTATTAAGGTTGATTCTAAATATATTTGTATTGCCTGATCAGAAGGAAAAAAAAAAGGTTTGCAGAGATGTGCAAGGAAAAAAAGAATATATTGCTTTCTAAATAGCTTCAAATAAAGAGATCAAACCATCAACACCTTTTTAGTCCAGGACTGGCTATATTCAGATCGTTTAATTGAAAACAACTTCTACTTAATGAATTACTGTCAGCTGTGACTACAGTAACTGTCCTTTTTAAGCTACCCTATTCTGAAGTAAAGCACACCAACTGAAGCTGCCATGAAAGTTGTCCCTGTGCATCCACATCTTTAGTGCTTCTTATCTTTGAGCTTTCAAATAATTTATAAAGGAGAGAAAATACCAGTCTTCTTTGCAGAGGAAAGTATGGAATAATGCGACACAAGGAAGCAGGATGAAAGCCTATATCCAGTCCACCTAACTCTAAGCACTTAAGTAACAGGCCTAAGTTAGCAGCTTGGTTGCTCCATAACGACTGGAGACAGGTAGCTGCCCTTGAGCATGTTTTGTACCTTTGGTTGACTGGCATGCTTTATTAAGAAGAGGATATAGGAGGAATTCACTCAGTTTCTAATTTCAGGTGCTCAAATAAGCACCCAGAATTAAGCTAGACTTAATTTGATCCACAGATATTTTAAAAACAGTTATTTTAAACTATCAGCATTTTATAGAAAAATATATTACTGTTATTACTGTAATATATCCCTAGGTATGTATTTACATATGTAGAGCACCTATATGTAATGTATTTGTGTATGGCATTTTATTTCCTGAGAGGATAGGATCAAAACATTAAAGGTGAGCATGCTTTACCTCTACGCTTACCTATTTTGTTTTCAAACGCATTTTTATTTTTATTTCAGACATATATATTAGGTTCTGTTCCCTAGATGAGTTGATGCTATACAGTCAAAATTTGCAGAGGCAAACCTTTGCTCTCAGACCAGCTCTGCCGGTACAATCCTATGTACTGGATATCAAAAACACACAAACACATGTACACACGTATTCAAACAGATGCCACTCTTCAAATACATCGAGAACAAGAATTTAACTTAATCAACAAATGCCAGCTAGCTTGCAGAGTCCCAGCCCAGCAGCTCCTAATGGAAGTCCATGGCACTGGTACCTTGCTGTGCATGAACAAACGGGTTATCAGCCCCAGAGCTGTTCATCACTACCTTTCTAACCACAGCAGACCATACAATTTCCTCAGCAGATAGCTTGTCTCTCAGATGAGCAGTTAGTCAAAGTATAACTTTTGACACATGCAAACCTAAAAAAAAAAAATCAAGTGAAAAATAAAACTTGCTTTGAGTAACAGGAGATGTCGTTTTGGCAGCCGAGCAGGGTAAGAGCTTCATAAGTCGCTCTTTAATGCTGCGTTTGGTACTGTTCTGAGCGTAGAGGAAACCTAAAAAATATATTATCAGGACTGTTAACATAGGCTTGAGAACATTTTCTGTACATGCTGCATAATTTATCATTAAACCAGAATTCTGATTGGAAAAGGCCAAGCAGACAGCTTTGCAAAAGGCAACGAGAATTTTTGAACAGGACAACAAAATTGCTTTGTCTTTGCATTTTTCCAGCAAGAGACATTTTTGTATGAAAAGTTCCTACAACACACTTTAAAAGACATACAAGTACCAGATTATGGTTTTGAATTAACCCAACATAAGAGTGTTTTTAAAGATCTTAATGATAAAATATTTTAAAGATTTTAAAATTTATTTAAATTCTTATTTTCTTTTTAGGTTAAACATGGAGGGAAAAAAAAAAAACTCCAAGAGCTTTTTTGTTGTCCTTTCTGGAAGTCTTGTAGCTCCCCAACTGTTTTCTTCCATATCATTCATTCAGCATTTTTGATAACCGACTGGTACTTTTGCCTTTTCTGAATATTAAAATATCAAACAGGATGCTTAGCCAGTCTCTCTGTTCTTTAAAATTTTGACATTCTACATATAGAGAATTATGACTATCATTTCCATATTTTCACCTTTAAATACACACATGGCTGAAAATCTAATGTTCATGTGCAATAAGGTAGGTATATCACATCAGCCTAAATCACTGAGGAGGCTGTCACAGGAAACGCCTGTAACATCTAACCAACCATTTTATACAAAACAAGTGACACGAGCAAGAAATCTCCTGGACAGATATTTGCTGCAAATTACAGAGTCAACCTCTGGAAAGCAGATGACTAAATGATTTATTTTCTTGAAACAGGCAATGCTCAGTGCAGACACTGTGCAGCTCCTGCACTTCTCATCTCAACTGCAAACGCTCACGCACAAGCACTGTTGTGCGACGGCTCTTGCTACGGCAGCAAGAAAGCAGAACAGACTGGAGCAAGAAAGGAAAGACATCGCTGACAGTTTCTGTGCTGGGGCACAGCCACAGGATAACTCTGGGCTATCCCAGGCACTGAGCTTGTGCTGAATACTGGTGTTTGTGACATTATATGAAGGGCTCCTGTCTGTCACCAGATGGCAAGAGTGAGAACCTATCAACTCTGGCATGAAGTGGAGCCTGCAGGCAAACTGGAAAAATTTATCTACTTTGAGGGAGAATAGAAGGAAAAAGTGTGAAAGCTTTAAAGATAATAAAGGCTGTAAATGATAGAAAAATATATTTACCAGCATTTATGTGAGCAAAACACTGGAAAAAAAAAGATAAAAGTGGAAAAGGAAGAAAGAACAACTACAGACTGGAAAAGTCAATCAGCTGCTAGCAGGCAAATTCTGCCTCTGAGAAAGCTGCAGCTCTACTGAATGCATTAAAAAACCCAGTTTCAGCACAAAGTCAAACCTATAGGCACTACCCTGGAAACTTTAAAACTTTTTAGTACAAATAATAACAATTAGTGCACTTATTATTTGTAGCACTGAACTGTCAGCTCAAACCGGAACCACTATGTAGATAAATGCATACAATAGCAGACAATCTGTGATCTTATAGTTATCTCAAACTTCACATTTTTAGTTTGAATACAAAAACTGAGACTTTAAGAAGACACACTCTGGCCTTAACTAGTTGTGTCTGTGGCAATGCACTATGCTAGTACTACACATTTTTAGGCATTTTATCTTAAAGGAATTTAAATTTAAAGTAATTGTAATTTTTTTTCTTCCTAAAACACATGTTTTAAAAATATCTAATTCTAGCTTGTTAACAGCAGTTAGGGTTTACTAATGTTTATTGTCCATGTATTACTTATTTTTAAGTACATGTAATTGCTGGAGATGTGTACAGTGCTTTGTAAAAACTAAAGATCCTTTATTTCTAAAGGGTCTGAAGCCTTAATTAGGCAAACAGTTTTGCTTAATTTATACTCCCACGGAAGCTCACAGAGCTATATCTGAGTAGTTTTACAGAAACACAGTTTTACTTTTGCTGTCATTGAAATCACGGAGACTATGCAAACCTGTTCCCAGATACACAGTCAGGGACAGAGAAGATGGAGTTCAGATGCAAGGCAACAAGACAATAGATAGTAAGCGTTAAAAGATATAATGTCATCAAAAACACAGCTTTTGCAAAAATAGTTAAAGGTTCTAATAGCACATAATGAAACTCATTTTCAGTGATTTTCTTGAGTGACCTGGCCAATAAGAATCCAGGGAGAATGATTTTTAATTAATCTGAATATGCTGTAATTGTTAAATTGTATTAGATTTTTTTTAATCTCAAACAACAATCTTTTCCTACACATAAATCCTAAATTCTTCCCACTTTAAAGGTCATTAATTATAAGCATCTTATGGTAATTGTTTTTACTAGTTAAATAGGTTTACTAGTTTTTCCAAATTACTTCAACTAGTTTAGAGAAAAAAAAATCAAGTTCTTATGTTTTAAAAATCTGATGTAATGTTTCTGAATTGTTCCACGTTAACCAACTTGTGGCTGCATCTCAGAAAGCTGCAGCATAAGCACCCTTTCAGTGTCGAGTACATTATTTGAGTGGGACTTGCAGAGAACCTGAAAGGGAAGATACAGGCTTCAGTCCTGAGTAGATAAATGGACAGTAACTTATATATTTTATTTCCTGAGTACAGCTTTCAGAGTGATTTTTCCTGACTAAAGCAGTATTCTAAACCCAGAAAGCATGTTGCACTCTGGGCCTATGCTGAATCAGTGCTCAGTATGGGTTGAGACACTACCAAATGCTAATTAAGATGATATATCGTAACAATTTTTATGAGTTCTGTAACTATTTGCCCCATATAAAATAGGCTGGAGGAGATAAGAAGTGGCCCTTACAAACCTAATATAAATTAAAATTGATTGCTTACATAAAAATGGTTCCTCTCTTATTGCCAGTCTTCAAAATGCCTGTTCATGAAATGGTAGAGAATCAATTCGTTATTTGTTATTTGGCAGTGAAAGCTAAGCCCTGAGACACGTTTTTTCCCCAGAATTCACTCCGGAGGTGTCCTAGAAATTATCTCTTACTATGTCAGGGTCTACTGTCCCAAGGAGTTTGGATATTTCACATAAAACTCTGTAAATGGAGCATGGCCTAGATAGTCTCATATCTAGGCACTGACGTAGGGATGTGCATGCTCAGTATAGATATTAGGCCTATTAGACACACTTTAGGACTTGCTACTGTTTACCATGGCTTGCCTTTGTAGCTGCAACTGATAAAGGCAGCAATGGTTTAAACCTCAGATTTACAGAGAGGTAAGCTAGAGAACAGTATTTTTACATATTTACAAATATAAGCATAGCATGGACAGTACAATGCATACACATGACGAATACAAATGTTTTCAAGCTGCTATTTTTGAAGTTATATTTGGACAAAATTAATCAAATCTTTTTTTTGCATATGATCTGGTCACTCTAGTATCAGAAAGTTAACAAACAGATCCAGATCTGATGCTGTTGGCTATATAAAACAAAACACAAAAAATCCCACAAAGAAGCACTGAAATTGTCCTTCATTAAATGAAAAAAAAACTAGTACAGCCATAATAGACTAGGAAAAAAAAAACAGGGAGAAAAGGTTATATACTACATAACCTATGAAAAGTATACTATTTATTCCAAATGATAATTTATCTATAGCTAGAATATTTCTGTCATAGTTCTTGACAGATTTATGTCTTCAAATATATGATCTCTGTTTTGGAAAGACAATACATTTTGTCCTGTCACTATAGAGACAGGACAGGTACCACATGGATGATTATCAGATTCCTGCAGGACAAAATGTCCTTCTTTGTAAATGCTGGTTTTTCTCATTGCAAATATTTTGTGATCAGAAAGAAGGTAACATCAGGTAGACAGTTTTACTTAGAATAGAATTCTGCTCAACAGATACATTAGAGAGTCAGCCTTGCACCCTGAGCTCTTGCACAAGATGGACTGCGCCTGTTGTGGCTCAGAATGTGGCTTTCCACTCTTGCCCTGCAAACCTTCTCTGGCCATAACAAATTCTCTGTTCAGAGATGCTGTCTCCCACCTCATTGCTACTTGGGTGACAAATTTCAACCCAGAAGAAACCCTCAGTTGAGTACTTAAAAGACCTTATTGGGCAGGCAGTCACTCCATCTCATAGGAAGTTCAAAACTAGAGTCCATTCTCCATCCCAAAATTCTTTTTCCTCATCGGAGAAGGAGCCTCCTGTAAAACTACCACTTTTTCACACTCCTTTTCCCTCCAAGTTTTTTACTGTTCTTTGCTCTTGCTCTTTCTCAAACTTTCTCTACTTTATTTGGCAAAGACAGCAGATGGGCTTTGCTCCACTTTTTACTCAGCAGTATTTACAGTCCCCTGGCCACACGACAGTCTTAGCAGTAGAGTCAGGCTCTCAGTATTGCTGAAATTTGTATTTTGTTCTCTTACAGGATTTAAAGTCTTCTTGTGAAAACAGGAAAAATGCTCTTGTTAGTTTTGAATGGCATCTTTTATAATTAGAATCAAAACTAAAACCCAAGCTGCACAGGTCATTTTCCTAAGCCTATACAGTGGTAGCAAGCAACAAACATTCTGCAAATGAGAAAGAAAAATGCATCAAGTCTTTTGTTGACATAGTGGTTTGTGCACAATTTCAGCTGTATGATCAAATTTCTCCCAAAGCTTTAAGGGCTGGCAACTCCACTAAACTGCTAATAGATCAGCACAGATAGGAGAGGGAAACAAAAATGAGTTGCAATTTTTCAAATTCTTTGTTCATGACTTTTGGAAGAGATGCCAAATCAGAATATTTGTTCTGTCTACGTAGTGAACCTGGATTTGAAACAAAATTAGGCACAACATAAATACTTACAAATCTAAGCCTCAGCTCTTTGGAAATACTTGCTGAATAAATAGAAATTTTGGAGTTGGAATGCACATGCTGAACTACAAAATTTACCAGACAACATTTTTTTTAATGTAATAGACTTTCTATCAGACT